GGCGGAATAAAAATAAGAACTTTTGATTATCATTCTCTTACGGACTTTGCCACCAAGGCTTCCTAGTTCTTGCTCTCTTTCTGTCTAGGAATGCTATATTAAATGTGGTAAAAGTAGATTTGTGATGGTGAATAATGTTGCTATGAACATTGGTGTAAAAGTCTCCATTTGCGCTTCAGTTCTCATTCTCTCGGGAATACTCTGAGTAGTGAAATAGGTAGGTCATATGGAATTTCTATGTTCAGCTTTTTGAGGAAGCTCCAAACTGTCTTCCAGAGTGGTTGCACCATTTTACAATCCCAGCAACAATGTATAAGAGTTCCTATCTCACCACATCCTCTCCAACATCTATTATGTATTGCCCTGTTAAACTTTGCCACTCTTATTGGAGTGATATGGTAACTCATTGTGGTTTTGATTTGCATCTCTTATTGCCAGTGATGTTGAGCATTTCTTCATGTATCTATTTGCCATTCTAATATCTTCCAGCTGTCCAACCACAAATGAATGGATTGAGAAATTAGGATACATTCACACAATGGAATACTGTACAGCATGCAGGCGCAATGATTTTGTAAATTATTACCTAACTTGGGAGGGACAGAGAGCATTATGCTGAGTGAACTAACTCAGTCCCACAAGGGCAAATATTGTATAAAACCATTATCTACAGTAATGAGAAAGAGTATAAGGATCCAGTGGGCGGGGGGGTGGGAGGGGTGGAAGACAGATGAGGATGTGTGGGGGGAGGATAAATTATGGGGTTGTACAATTTTATAAAAGGGCATGAAGAAAATTGGAAGAATCTGTTCTAGAAAATAAGGGATTCAAATTTTGTAAATAAACTATAATAATAATAATAATAATATTTGGTTTGCTTAATAATTACCTATCAGTAAGCCTCTTACAGGGGTTAATCTTACTGATATTTTAAGGACTTATAAAACTCATTAATAATATAGATGTAATGTTAAATTTTGTGTGCAGTTTATAAACTAATTTTCATTTCATATTATCCAGACTTGAAGAAAAGTAGAAAATATTTAAATGGTTAGGAGGATTTCAAAATTTCCTCATCCTACAGAAGATAAACCATATTTTTTGCTTCTGGATACTTTTGTGACATATCTTTAAGAAGTGTGAAAGATTTCTTGCTTAGGATTTCTTTGTTTTTTAGGAATTTAATAATGCTTTCAACTACACATTGATTTTTAAAGTACTTATTACTAGAAAGATAAATTTTGATTTATGGAAATGATATTTATGAGGAACAATAAATCCATAGTTTTTAGAATACCTTTGGGGGCATTTTATAAAATATTTAATAATGCCTTTATTTAGAAGCCAAGTTTAACCTTTTTAAAAAAATATTCTAACATTTGTAATGTATTTTTTATATATACTAAAACAAAGATCAAGTTTAACCCTTTCACAACCAGAAACATCTACTAAAGGAAAACAAAAGGAAAGAAAAACTATAATAATTTTCTCTTTCAAATTTTCATAATTTTTATTAAACAATGTAATAATCAGTGGGAAAACTCTAGACTTTATTCTAGAGTTATAAAACTCCCAATTAAAAACTTATATAAAATTG